AAAAAAACCCAGAAGTGGCGCTGTGACTCAAGTGATAGAGCACTAGCCTTGAGCTGAAGAGCTGAGGGACAGTGCCCAGGCCCCATGACTGGACCCCCCCCCCAAAAAAAAAAATTCATTGACTTTTCTGCCCTGGCTAACTTAGAACTGTGATCCTCAGACTTCAGCCTCCTGAGTATCAACCAATAGTTTTGAGAGTATACCATTATTTCTGTATTTGATGCCCTCTAATGTGTAGTTGAGTGAACTAAATATGCTTTCATTTAGGGGCTCTGCTGAATATTAGGATATTTTCTACTATATAATTATCTTCTAACCTTGTATGTTATGAAATTAAAAAAATTTACTAGTAATATTGTGTCAAAATTACATATCTTGGAGAGCCCTAGGATTTTAGGAGTAACATCACTATAGCAATGTTTATAGAAGGGAGTGTTTTTTTCCCTCTCACCTACCTTCAAAGCTGAAAAACCATTGTCCTAGGTCATATGTTCAATTTCTCCTCCCTCTGCATCAGTAATGGCAGCTTAATTGTACACAGGCAGAACAGTGCTTCTTGGTTGGTGGTTCATACTTAATGGTGCCTAAAATCTTATCCTTGCCCAGATCAGAATGTTACCTCTTAACATATACGACCTGTTAGTCTAGAACTTGTGGTTTAATTAAAAAAAAACTTCAGAAAATGAACCATTTGTTCTTTAAATAAGAAACAGGTCCTTCAGAGATTTATGCTTAAATAAGTCTTATTACTACACAAATTAGGCTGAAAAGTGATACTTTATTTAGAAATCTTTTTTTTTTTTTTTGTCCTGTGGTTTGAACTCTGGGCTTGGGTGCCACTTCGGTTTTCTGGTGGTTAATTGGAGACTTTCCTACCGAGGATGGCTTTGAATTATGATCCTCAAATCTCAGCCTCCTGAGTAGTTAGGATTACAAATGTGAACCACCAGGACCCGCTTTAGAGAAAGCTATTCTTTTTTTTTTTTTTTTTTGGTCATGGGCCCTGCACTTGGCCTGAGCTACCATCCCAGCCCAAGAAAACTATTCTTAGATTAGACTTAAAACTTTGAGTCTTGGGGACTGGGAAAGTAGATCAGTGGTAGAGTGCTTGTCTTGCATGCATTAGGCCCTAGGTTTGATTTCTCAGTACCATATAAGTAGAAAAAACCGTAAGTAGTGCTGTGGCTCAAGTTATAGAGCTCTAGCCTTGAGCACCCAGGCCCGGAGTTCAGGCCCATGACTGACAAAAAAAAAAGAAAACTTTGACTCTTCGATGCAGCATATTAATCAGACTGGCTTTTGAGTCATTTTTTTCTTATGATGGTTTGTTTTTGGTATTGGAGTAGAACCTGGACTTCATTTAACCTCATTTAATGGAAGGAAATAGATTTTATCACTGTATGTCTCTGCCCCCTCTCCCCCCCACCTGCTTAATACTGTGTTTTTGGCTTTTGTTTTTGGTTAGTCATAGGTCTTGAACTCAAGGTCTGGTGACTGCCCCTGAGTTTTTTTGCTCTATTACTTTGAGCCACATCTCTATTTCTGGTTTTCTGATGTTTAATTAGAGATAAGAGTCTCATGGACAGCTGGGCTCCTGTGGCTCATGCCTGTAACCCTAGCTACTCTGGAGGCTGAGATCTTGAGGATTATGGTTCAAAGCCAGCCTGGGCAGAAAAGTCCGTGAGACTCTGATCTCCAATAAGCCACTAGAAAACCGGAAGTGGTGCTGTGGCTCAAGTGGTAGAGCCCTTGCCCTTGAGCTAAAGAGCCCAGAGACAGTGCCCAGGCCCAGAGTTCAAGCCCCACGACTGACCAAAAAAAAAGTCTCATGAATTTTCTTACCTGGGCTGGCTTTGAACTGCGATCTTCCAGTCTCAGCCTCCAGAGTAGATAGGATTACAGGCATTTGCCAGTAGCTCCCAGTTGAAAAGCTTTTAATGTTTATTTCACTATTGAGGATTAAACCCTAGGTTTCACACATGCTAGCCAGGCAAGCACTCAACTTTTTTTTTTTTGTCATGGGGCTTGAACTCTATAGCCTTGGGCACTGTCCCTCAGCTCTTCTGCTCAAGGAGAGGGCTCTACTGTTTGAGCCACAGCTCCACTCTGTTTTTCTGGTGATTTATTGGGGATAAGAGTTTCATGGACTTTCCTGCCCTGGCTGGCTTTTAACCACGATCCTCAGATCTCGGCCTCCTGAGTAGCTAGGGTTACAAGGCTTGAGCCACCATGTGCAGCCAAACATTTCATTATTGAATTTATTTTTTTGCCGGTCCTCAGGTAGGAATGCAGGGCTTGGGGTCCTCTTACTGAGCTATTTTGCTGTAGGCTACTGTTCTACCACTTGAGCCAGAGTTCCATATCTGGCTTTTGGATGGTTAGTAGAAGAATTTTCGTGTACTTTCCTGCCCAGGATGTTTTCCAGCCATGATCCTGAGATCCTCAGAGTAGGATTGAAGGTGTAAGCCGCTGGTGCTTGGCTGTTCCTCATATTTTGGAGACAAGGTGTCTCTGTTTCCCATAGTAGCTCTTTTTCCTGAGTACTGCCATATTGGTAATGAGAACTTTTTGTTTTTTGGTTTGTCATGGAGCCTGAACTCTAGGTCTGGGCGCTGTCCCTCAGCTCTTCAGCTCAAGGCTAATGTTCTACCACTTGAGCCACAGCACCACTTGTGACTTTCTGCTTATGTGGTGACAAGGAAGTGAACCCAGAGCTTCATGCATATTAGGCAAGCACTACCACTCAGCCACACTCCGAGTCCTGTTTTTTTTTTTCCTGTAGTTTTTGGGTTTGAACTCTGCTCTTTAGGCCTTGTGCTTGCTAGGCAAGCACTCTGCTAATTGAAATATGTCCTCAGCCAAAGGCTTAGAAGTTGTGGAGGGCTTGGTAATTTAACTGTTGAATGTATACTTTAGAGAATGGGAAAGAGTAACATCCTAAAAGAAATGTGTGTACTCTTTACCTGACTTAATATAACTGTAACTCCTGTATAGATCACCTTTATTTATTTATTGTGAAAATACCATACAGAGGGGTTACAATTACATGGGCAAGATAATGAGTACATTTCTTATCAAGCATTGTTGCTTCCTCCTTTGTTTCCCCTTCCCTTCCCATATCCCCCCTGTATTTTTTTTTTTTTTTGTCGGTCATGGGGCTTGAACTCGGCTTGGGCGCTATCCCTCAGCTCTTCAGCTCAAGGCGAGCACTCTACCGCTTAAGCCACAGCACCACTTATTGGAGATCAGAGTCTCACAGACTTTACTGCTTGGGCTGGTTTTGAACTGTAATCTTCAGATCTGTCTCCTGAGTAGCTAGGATCACAGGCTGAGCCACCGGTGCCCAGCTTAAAATTGTTTTTAAAAGTAATAGTTTATGGGCTGGGAAGGTGGCTCAGAGGTAGAGCACTTGCCTTGCATGCATGAGGCGCTGGGTTCAATTCCTCAGCACCGCATAAGCAAAAAAAAAAGCCAGAAGTGGCACTGTGGCTCAAGTGGTAGAGGGCTAGCCTTGAGCTGAAGAGCTGAGGGACAGCGCCCAGGCCAGGCCCAGAGTTCAGGCCCCACGACCGGACCACCCCCTCCCTCCCCCCCCAAAAAAAGTAATAGTTTATATGACGTCCCTTAAATGGTTAAGAGTGACCTGGGTGCTCACGCCTGTAATTCTAACCACTCAAGAGACTGAGATTCGAGGATCACGGTTCAAAGCCAGCCAGGACAGAAAAATCCCAGTGAGACTCTTATCTCAAATTAACCACTTGAAAAAAACTGGAAGTGGTGTTAATGACTAAGTGGTAGAGTACTAGCCTTGTGGCCATAGAGACTCAAGGACAGTGCCCAGGACCAGCAAAAGAGAAAGTAAAGTGGTTTTTATGTAAGTAGGTTTCCTGGAATCTGCTTAAACTTGTTTTAATCAGTTTTCCTATTTGTAGGACATCAGCAGTTCTATGACCAATAGTACAGCTGCCAGTAGACCCCCAGTCACTCTAAGGCTGGTGGTTCCTGCTAGTCAGTGTGGCTCTCTCATTGGAAAAGGTGGTTGCAAGATCAAGGAAATACGAGAGGTTAGTGACTTTTGTGCTCATTTTAGAATTGCTTACTTGTTCCAATGCTGTTTGGCTCTTAGTATGTCTTGGAAGGTTAGCATTTCATCGCACTGAATGAAATAAAAGTACACAATAGATTTTTTTCTTTACATAATACATTTTAATATTTGTGTTGTTGGATATTGAACCCAAGAGCCTAGTGTGCAGATGGCTCTATCATTGATAGATCTAAGGTCTCTTAGTTTATTGTGTATTGCTCAGGATGATCTCAGACTCTTGGAGTCAAATCTGCCTCAGCCTTGCAAGCTAATCTTGCCTGATTCAATTCAAGGGTTTTTAGTAATAAATCAGAATATAAGAAAGTTAACCTGGGCTGGGAATGTGGCTCAGTGGTAGAGTGCTTGCTTTGTATGCATGAGGCCCTGGGTTTGATTCCTCAGCACTACATAAATAGAAAAAGCCAGAAGTGGCACTGTGTCTTAAGTGGTAAAGTGCTTAAAGTGCTCTCCTTGAGCTGAAGAGCTGTGGGACAGCGCCCTGGCCCCACAATCAAAAAACAAAACAACGCCAGAATTTCCAACTCCTGCATATAGTTTTCCTTTAACAACATTGTACAATATCTAAAGAGATTAAAGCCAGGTACAGTAGGTCATATCTATAATAGGGAGGTGGAGCTCTGGAGGAGAGGGTTGCATATCCCACAAACAAGCTGGGTATGATCCTGCATGTCTGCAATCATTCCAAATGATTGGGAGGCCAGTGGTAGAATCATGGTCCGTGCTGGACTGGGTTACCTGAAAAATATTACAAAGTGGTAGGTGGGGCCACTAAAATCGTGACTCAGTTGTTACAGTGTCTGCCTAGCAGATGCTGAGCCTTGAGAGTATTCTCTGGTATGTTTCCCTCCCCCTGATTATTTATAATAACACCAGTATATTGTTTAAACTTGTAAGCAGCAAGGGGGAAGGGATAATATATATTTCAATGTTCTTATTTTTCTTTTTTTTTTGAAGTAGCTAGTCGATATAATTTCATCTCAATGACATAATATTTTGCAGGGATCCCTGCAAAATATGGAATGCTTCATGAATTTGTGTATCATCCTTGCACAAGGGCCATGTTAATCTTCTCTGTATTGTTCCGATTTTAATATATGTGCTGCCGAAGCAAGCACTGTTGAATTCAGGGCCTGAGCACTGTTCCATAACTTCTTTACTCATAGATAGTCCTCTATCAGTTAAGCCACATCTTTTACTTTTGGCTTTTGTGGCTAATTGGAGATAAGAAAGAGTCTCAGAGACTCCCCTGCCTGGTCTGACTTCAAACCTGGATTCTCCATGACTGACCTTAGTCTCCTGATTAGCCTAAAATTATAGGCATAATCCACTAGCACCCTTCTGATTCTTTTTTCCATTTTGTGCCAGTCCTAGGCTTGAACTTAGGACATCCTAAGTTCAGCCTCCTGACTAGGCAGGATTATAGGTATGAGCCATGGGTGCCTAGCTCTCTTTTTTTTTTCTTGCTGGTTGTGTGCCTGAACTCGGGCCTGGGTGCCATCCCCTCGGCTCTTCAGCTCAATGCTAGCACTCTACCACTTGAACCACACCATCACTTATGGTTTTCTGGTGGTTTATTAGAGAGTCTCATGGACTTTTCTACCCGGGCTCGCTTTGAACTGTGATCCTCAGATTTCAATCTCCTGAGTAGCTAGGATTACAGGTGTGAGCCACCTTCCCAGCCCTTCATTTCTTTTTTTCTTTCTTTTTTTTTGTTGGTCCGGTTGTGGGGGCCTGAACTCTGGGCCTGGGCGCTGTCCTTCAGCTCAAGGCTAGCGCTCTACCACTTGAGCCACAGCACCACTTCCAGTTTTTTTCTTTTCTGCTTATGTGGTGCTGAGTAATTGAACCCAGAGCCTCATGCATGCAAGGCAAGCACTCTACCACTGAGCCTCCTTCCCAGCCCTCCTCATTTCTTTTTAATACTTTAAGCTTTACTTAATTTTGGAAGCTTTTTTAAAAATTTTTTATTTTCGATTTATTTATTTTTTGGGTCAGGTCATGAAATCTGAACTCTGGGCCTGGGTGCTGTCCCTCAGCTCTTCAGTTCAAGGCTAGTGCTCTACCACTTGAGCCACAGCACCACTTCCGGCTTTTTTTTTCTGCTTATGTGATGCTGAGGAATCGAACCCAGGGCCTCAGGCATGCAAGGCAAGTGCTCTACTACTGAGCCACCTTCCCAGCCCCAATTTTGGAAGCTTTTAGTTGTACTTGGAGTTGACTGAATTGGGTTTTGGAATGAGACTAACAAGATGAGTTTTGGAGGAGTCTGTTGTAAGTGACAAGAGCAGAGGTCTTAATTTTTGTTAATGTATTACAAGCACTTGGAATGGTCCTTGGAATAAAGAATGGGCTTGATAATATGATATATGTATATATAAACTCTATAAGAGAATAAGAGGTGGGTCATAGTTGTGGGGCTTGCTTCGCCCACAACACTGTCATTAGTTGAGGAAACTGTGTAGAGGACCTTTTTTTTGAGAGCAGGTTAAATTTAGGCTCTTATCCAGACTTCTTGTCTTTCAGAAGCTAATTTTAACTCCCATTAAGCAGTACTAGCTGGAATAAGGAAAGAAAGGGAAAGTATAAAAAGGGGATATGATACAAGTATGTATGAGCTTCTGACTCTAAAATTGCTGCTGGGAGAAATTGGAAGAACATGTTGTTTTTTCTGATTTTTAATTTCTTTTTACCCCAAAGAGTACAGGGGCTCAGGTCCAGGTGGCTGGGGATATGCTCCCCAATTCAACTGAGCGGGCCATCACTATTGCTGGCATTCCGCAATCCATCATTGAGTGTGTCAAACAGATCTGCGTGGTCATGTTGGAGGTAAGCCCTCAGGCTCATGCTGAGTGTGGGGGGAGGGTGATTCTGGAGACAGAGAAATTGATCTATCTTTAGTAAGACTAGAATTAGGTGAAGCTGTTAGAAGCCTAGTAGTGGGAGGTGGGGGAAAAGGTTCCCTGAGTGCATATTTTCCTTCTATCAACTTTTTTTTTTTTTCCTTCTACCAACTTTTTTTGTTACTTATTTTGTTACTGTCTGTGAGTAAAAATAGAATCTTCAAAGCAGTAGTGATCTTTTGGTTTAGATCCATTCTATCAGTTGGGAAAAATTCACTACTTGGTCTGAGTGGACAAGAGATGGACTTAAGTTTTAAATTACCTTTTAGGTTGCTGTAGTACATGCAACTTTGACAATTCTTTTTACATAGACATACTCAAAATGGTAGTTGTATAAAATAGAAATTGTATCCATCATGATGTTTTGAATGACAAGAATAGTCCTGCCAAGATGCTCTTTTTTTGTGGGGGGGAGGTCCGGTTGTAGGACCTGAACTCTGGGCCTGGGTGCTGTCCTTGAGCTCTTCAGCTCAAGGCTAGAGCTCTACCACTTGAGCCACAGTGCCACTTCTGGCTTTTTTCTTTTGGCTTATGTGGTGCTGAGGAATAGAACCCAGGGTCTCAGGCATGCAAGGCAAGCGCTCTACCACTGAGCCACCTTCCCAGCCCCCCAGTATGCTCTTATACAACAAAAAAATAGCAAAATTGAGGGAAATTGGGCTTTTTAGAATTACGGAGTTGGTCTTGTAGGAAAGTAGGGCAATTTCCAAGTAGAGTTTAGCAACATCTTAACTGAGTCTTTGACCTGCCAAGTCTTTAACTATAATGTTTGGGTACTTTATTTCCAGTTTTGATTTATATATTGTTCAGGTTGTATTAGGAAGTTAAAATGTATGCATAGAGGATTTTTACTGTTTTGTATTCCTTAAAGTTACTTAAAAACATGAACTAGTGCCAGGGACTATTGACAGACATTTGCTATAGCAAGAATCTGTGAGCCATGGATTGTCATAACTGATCAAAAGCAAAAAACGAGATATTTGGGATTAGATCCAGCAAATGACAACTTGATAGTTGAGAGAGCACTAATAGTTTAACTGACCTGTGTGTGCTAAAGCCACACAGCTGAAGCAGCTTTGAAACCTTATCTCTTTTTGTTTTTTTCCCCTCTGACTCTCTCCCAGTCCCCTCCGAAGGGCGTGACCATCCCGTACCGGCCCAAGCCGTCAAGTTCTCCAGTCATCTTTGCAGGTGGTCAGGTAAGAAAATTCTTATTAGTGGGCTAGACTGAATGAAGATTGTCTTTGAATTGTCAACTTTGCTACAAACCATTCTGCATGTTTGCTGAAACCTGTACTCTGGCCATAGTTTGACTTGCTTTAATTTTTTTTCTTTTTTGTACTGGAGAAAGCCTGGAATGCAAAGCCCTTACTTAATTTTTAGCAGGCCAATGGAAGTTTTGTAGGCACTCAGAAGAGGTAATTTATTTGGTAACATAAGGTGGATTGTGGTAGAAGTTAAATTGCCTCAGGGTCACTTTTCTCCTTACTCACATTTGTGCTTTTATATGTATGGGTGATCCTTAAAAATCTGAGTAAAAGTAACAGTTGGACCTCTGGAGATTTCTTGATGGTATCAAATTTGGGGGTTCCTGAATTTGAGTGTCCTACAAACTTCCCCTTCTCTTCACCTCCCCTCCCCTACTCCTGTCCCTTTACTTCCAAACTCCAGTGTATTGTTCCCCAGGCTCTTAACCTCAAACACTGGTTTGAACCCACATGGCATAACTGAAATCATCTGGGGTAAGAATTCAGTGTGCAAGAATAGGGGAACATGTTGGCTGTGGTGCTGTGACCTTTGGTGTTAAAAGTAAGAATAAGGCACCCCCTTGGTGCCTCTATGCCCTCAACAACCTAAATTATTCCTGTGTGACACATGGTTTATTTTGAAGTTAGTTTTGTGTGAGAAGAACATTTGATAAGCACCATGGTAGTTTTATGCTTTGATGGCTAATGTTTAAGGAATAGGTAGGCCAGTTTTTTTTTTTAATTGGATTTAAGTTTATTTTCGTAGCTGAATGAGTAAGTACTTCATTGTTCAAAGTGCCTTTTCCCACTTGAGACTGGCCTTGTTTAATAAGCATCTGTTTATATTTGATCTGGAAGCCATTTAGAAGCATAGACCTGAAATATATACCATTTACATTCTGCTGAATTGGCATAAAACTAAACAGGCTTGAGGAAACTTGGTTATGAAGTTCCTGGGAACTTTCAAAAGAAGTTTGTCTTGTCTCTGTCTTGAGACAGGTTAGTATTTTGCTTTAGCACTATCCTCCTACAAACTGGTTTGGTGAAAGGGCTCAGCTTAGATAATTGGGCAGTATAGCAAAGGCTCAGAGTCAGTGTAGCTAGGAGAATTAGTCTTTGGAGTTTGTCCTTCTCTTCTGGATTCTCACTTGGATATAAGGAATCCCTGCTGTGTGGCAGAAATCCTTTCTCCCTTGCCAATTCTCTTCCCCTTTCATACCCCTTTCCTTCCCTGTCCTCCCTCCCTGTTACTGAGTTGACCAACCCTCTAAAAGCTTGCCCTCTTATAGGCCATTTCAAGGGCCTTTTGGACCAGTTCATACAATCATTGTCCATAGGTGGGCCTGTCTTTTGTTTCTCTGTGGCAAAATGGGCTCTGTTGGGGTTCAATTTAATAATCCCACAGTGACCAAGAGCTGATATCATCAGCTCCCTTGCCTTATCCCTTTATTCATTTATGCAGTGTGAAATCTGCCACTGGGTAACTTTTTTTTTTTAAATTTGCTGATTACAGCTCGTTTCAAATCTGTGTTGTGAGCTCCTTTTAAAGGAAAAAAAATAAACAACTTTTTTTTGTGTGAATTTCATGCTGGTGACAAGGTGCCGGATTGACAGCCCTGGAGACTGAAATCCTCTATTTATCCACAGGACAGGTACAGCACAGGCAGCGACAGTGCGAGCTTTCCCCACACCACCCCGTCCATGTGCCTCAACCCTGACCTGGAGGGACCACCTCTAGAGGTGAGAGGGGATGTTCAGTCTCCAAGGCTCACTCAATCCTTCTGCCTCAGCCGAGACTGCCAACACACGGGGGGCCAGTGGCGCTGGTGATTTTTGTGCTGTGGACAGCACTTGTCCACGGGGACCTGGACTGACCCCCCCACCTCATTTCACACAGGCCGAGTAGCCCACCAGATGGTAACACCAACTTTTTTCTTTTTTTTTTCTTTTTTCTTTTTTCTTTTTCTTTTTTTTTTCTTTTTTCTTTTTTTTTTTGGTAAATTTTTTTTTGTCCAATCCCTCTTCCCCCTCCTACTTCTCCCATCCCATTTAAACCTTTTCCCACCCCCACCTGGGTATACTTTTGGGGGTATTAGCTCTGATGTGAGTCATGTCACATCTCATTAACTAGGTGCTCCTTCCCTTCTCCCTCCCTTTTCCCCTTATCTTACTCCTTGTCCGATCCCTTACCCCCATTGCCCTAAAGACCCAGCTCCCTTTTGGGGAGGTTATGATGTGTGGGGGGAGGAGGGTATAGTGGGGACTTGTAAATGCCTTTCATAGAGGGGAGGTGGGAGAACAAAGGACTTAGAGCACAGTGTTTTTCGTTCTAGTGTTAGGGCTAAGCTTCCAGGACATTTAGGTCTTCAGGTAGATAACAGAAAACAGTAAATCAGGGAAAGGGAAGTAATTTCAATACATGCCATGTAGGTTTGTACGTAGGATGCAAATTATCCAGGGCACTATGATTGGTAGTGGGTTGGGGAGTGGGAAGAGACTCTTTCCCTCCTAGGATATCTTGTATACAGGGTGGAAAAATTGGGTGGAGGGTTGTTCAATGGAGGCATTGTTTAATCTCACTGTCCACATTTTCATTAAGAAACAGATGAATATTTTGCTTTGGGAATGTGGTTACCTTTATAGGATCCCTAAAATAAAATCATTGTATTCAGGATGCAAAGGACAGCACAGTCTGACTGTGTTTGTGAAATTTTATCTACTGCCTAATCCCCATTCTATAGTTCAGTTCTGGCTTCCTGGCTAGTTGAAGTCTGTCTTTCCCTGTACTGGGTGGCTGTCCGTGATTGGTTTTTAATAGGAACTGTTTTCCTCCTTTTGTAGGCCTATACCATTCAAGGACAGTATGCCATTCCACAGCCAGATGTAAGTTTTGTTTTTATTTCTTGTTTTGAAAAATTCCCTATCCATCCAAAATTGTCTTCTTTCTCCCAAGTAGCCAGAAATGAATTGGGTCTTAAACATTCACAGAATTTGAGTTTCTTCACAATGTGAACCAAACATTTTAGTCTTTTAAATGATGAATTTTTTAAACAGGACATAGTAGCACCTTGTTTGCCTTTAATGTTTATCCCGGGAAATTATAATCCAGCAGAGTATTAGCTGCTTTCTCTTTCTGCTAAGTCTACTCCGTCAAAAAGAAATGTTCTTTGGTATTCTGTTATTTTATTATTGGGAAGACTCTTCAAGGAAGGAGTTGGGTAGGAGGGACTGGGAGGTTGGGTTTTTGTCCTTAAAGTGTAGGAAATGGAACATTGGAATTCCTTCCCACTAAAAAATTCCTATTAAGAAGTACTGGTAATTTGTTTTAAGGGCATTTCTTTCTGTATTCTGCCTTAATCTTTACTAACCTTTTCAGGTGCTGAGCATTAGACATGGAAAGTTAAGTTTGGCTCTTGGTTAGTGATAGGACCCAGGAGGGGTGAAGTAGACCTGAGGAGGATTATTTTTGTATCAGCCAGGAGAGGGCTAGTTTCCCCGCCCCCCCCCCTTTTGTTTTTTTGAGACAGGGTATCAGTAAGCCAGGGTTGCCTTGAGCTTAATAATTCTACTGATGCCTACTGGGTGCTAAGATGATAGGCCTGTACCACCATACCCAACTCAGGCAGGAGAGCATGTAAAGAAAATAGTTGTGAAAGTTGGTGGTGTTACAGACTAAACCCAGTTTGATTTCTCAGCCTTCTTTTTCCTTGAAGTTTCCCTATCCCCACCTCCCCCCACTGCCTTCCCTCTCCCCAATACTGGTAGACCCCTGCATGGTGTGTTTTCCCTAGCACCACTGCACAGTTTGTTTACCTGGCCTGTCTGTGCTTGTCCCTGGGGGCAACTGTTGCAATGGCTGCAAACACTTTCATTAAATAGCCACAGGGGATGGTTGTTGGGATGTGCTGTTGCTTTCCTTTTCACATACCCAAAATGCATTTGTTTTCTTATACTGACATGCTTTCTATTTTTGACCTTTACCCTTCATACTCTGCTGGTCTCAATATTGTACCATAAGTACTATTGCTTACCACCTCTGTTATACTTGGAGTAGTAGGGATAATTTTGGGGATCAGAGCTCCATTTTCATATTTGGATGTGCTTGAGCCTTGGCCTGTCTTCTAATGCTAGCCTCTCCTGTTTCTTTCCTACAGTTGACCAAGCTGCACCAATTGGCAATGCAACAGTCTCATTTTCCCATGACGCATGGCAACACCGGATTCAGTGGTATGGATACCTCAGTGTTTATTTCTGTAAGGTGTAGTGCAAGACAAGAGACCAGTCCCAAGGTCTCAGCTTGACATCTGTTTAAAACAAACTTCATTATCCAGCATCCTGCTGGTTTAAACTTGGCTTGTCTACTATGGCTAAACCCAAGGAGGTAATGTGTTTGTTAACGTGGTTTTCATTTGGGGTGAGTTACTCTAAAGGAAAAAGGGCCCTGGAAGGTTTGGGGTGAGGTCTGGGGATGCTTGTCAGGCAAAGGGTAGGCTGATATTTATTGCAATCCATTGTAAGGCTGCCCCCTTGATCTGATCAGCACCCCCTTTCTCTCCACCAGCTATTCACCAGACTTGGGTAGAGACGATCCATTTGTGCCAAATTGTATAGTGTTTTTTTTTGTTTTGTTTTGTTTTGATTTTGTTTTGTTTTTTTTGGGCTTTTTTTTTCTGTATAAGGAATAACTTGTCCGATAGGGTTAGGATGAGACCACCAAACTCATTTTCACTTGTATCTTAACAGGCATTGAATCCAGCTCTCCAGAGGTGAAAGGCTATTGGGGTAATGATTAAAAAAAAAATCTGTAGTATTCTACTGTTATATTAATAAACTGGTGGGAGTCTTGTTTCACTGCCCATGAATCATACCAGCATCAGACACGTGGCAGAGAGGAGCTGAGAGAGCAAAGGGGTGGGCCTGGTGCCCCTGAGGGTCCCTTGGTGGATCTGGCCAATCCCCTTCTAAAAATGCAGTTGAGAGCAGGATTAGGATTGTGAGTTAGCCAGCTGGCTTGGTCCAGTTCAGGTATCGTTATAGATGGGTATGGGTGTTTGCTGATGGGATTTTTTTTTGTTGTTGTTATTTTTTCTTTGGAGAACTAAACAAAAGCCAGAATACATTGAGCAAAAGACAGGGAATAAACCTGGAGAAATAAACTCCCCTTAACCTGACTGCCATTTCATTCTATCTGACCTTTAAATTAGGAGGATAGAGGTTAGAGGGCGTTAATCTGATACAGGTATAATTAAAGCAACACTGCATGTGTGCCAAAAGTCCATGGTACCCAATAACAGACAAATACTGGCACTGGGTGCTAGTGAGTATTGGGATAAATTGGAAATTTATTAGGAAATCCCAAACAGAAAAGGGGTAGTAATTCAAAAGGACTTGATGTTTAGATTTTGGTCCTGTTTCAGGATACTGTACTCCCTTGCTTCCATCCCCTTACCTTTAATAGGCTGGGCTTTGCAGGAAATGGCATGAAATCAACTCTTCTGAATGTACAGAAGAGAAACATTCCAGAGTTATTTCTACACCCCTCTCCCCGTCCTTCCTATCTGGAGGCTTCCAAGTTAGTTGATGAATCCCAACAGCCAATGCTGGGTTTCCAGTTTATTTTCTTCTGTTAGTTTAATGTTCAAACCAATGTAAGTTTGAATTCTATGCATTGAACTTTATTGCTTTCTTCTGTCTTTTAGCAGGTTTGGATGCATCTGCTCAGACTACTTCTCATGAACTCACCATTCCAAATGATGTAAGTATAGTCATTTGGGATGCATGGAGTGAAAAGGAGAGAATTGGTTTAAAGAATAGAAGGATTCTTCATCTTTTAAACTCTAGAAAATGAATAAGGTTTTTTTATTTTCTTGGTTGGGTGGGGCTCGAACTCTGAGCCTTCCCTCAGCTCTTCAGCTCAAGGCTACCACATGAGCCACAGTGCCACTTTGGTTTTCTGGTAGTTAATCTCACAGACTTTGCTGTTGGCTGGCTTTAAACCTTAATCCTCAGATCTCAGCCTCCTGAGTAGCTAGGGTTAAGGGCATGAGCCACTGGCTCCCAGCTTCCCCCCCCCGTCCCCCTGCTCCTTCCCCCAGTCTTTGGGACTTGAATTCAGGGCCTGGGCACTGTCTCTGTGTTTCTTTTGCTCAAAACTAGCACTCTACCACTTGAGCCACACACAGCACCATTTCTGGCTTTTTCTGTGCATATGGTACTAAGGATTCCCAGTCCTTTTTTCTTTTGTTTAATTAGTTATAGAGCTTGAACTCAGGGCCTGGGAACTGTCTCTGAGTTTTTCTGCTCAAGGCTAGGCTCTGCCACTTTGAGCTATAGCACCACTTCTGGTTTTCTGGTGGGAGATGGGAGTCTCAGAACTTTTCTGACTGGGCTGGCTTTGAACCTTGATCCTCAGATCTTAGACTCCTGAGGAGCGCTAGGATTATAGGTATAGAGCCACCAGCGACTGGCTACATGTAGAAGTTTCTATTTGCCTGTTTCATGTAGAATCTGCGGCTTTATCTTTGATGTTGTTCTTCGTGGTGGGGCTTGAACTCTGGGCCTGGGCAATGTCTCTCAGCTATTCAGCTCAAGGCTAGCACTCTACCACTTTGAGCCACAGCACTACTTCCGGGTTTTTCTACTTAGGTGCTGAGGAATCAAATCCAGGGCCTCATGCATATAAGGCAAGCACTCTACCACTGAGACACCTTCACAGCCCCTGAAGCTTTATCTTTAAAGCATTATATGGAGAGGCTCTTTGAAAGTTAAATCTGTACTACCTGGCATGGTAATTAGTAAACTGTATGTGGTTGAGATTAATGATAAAAATATTTCAATTTTTTTTTGGTGACCGTTTCTGGGGCTTGAACTTAGGTCCTAGACATTGTCCTTTATCTTTTTCATTCAAGGCTAGTTCTCTGCCACTCTAGCCACAATACCACTTCCTGCTTTTTGTAGTTAATTGGAGGTTCTAGTTCACAGACTTTCTTTCCCTGGGGCTGGCTTTGAAGAATAATCCTCAGATCTCAGTCTCCTGAGTAGCTAGGATTATAGGTATGAGGCACTTGTGCCCAACAGCATTATGAATGTAAAACTCTGCAAACTATAAAACTCCTTTTATTTTTTGACCTGGGGCTTGAACTCTGGGCTTCGGCACTGTGTTTGTGCTCTTCAGCTCTATTGCTTGAGCTACAGCACCACTTCCAGTTTTGTAGTGGTTTATTGGAGATAAGATCTCCGGACTTTTCCTACCCAGGCTGGCTTTGAACTGTGATCCTCAAATCTCAGCCTCCTGAGTAGCTAGGATTATAGGTGTGAGCCACTGGTACCGGCACTATAAAACACCTTTATTCTAAGCCAATTAACTATTAGGTTTGTTTTTTGTTTTTCTTTCTTTCTTTTTTTTTGGCCTGTCATGGGGCTTGAACTCAGGCCTGGGCACTGTCTCTGAGCTTTCTTGGCTCAAGGCCAGTGTTCTACTACTTACAAGTCACAGCACCACCTCAGGCTCTTTTCTGTTTATGTGATACTGAGGAATCAAACCTAGGACGTCATGCATGGTAGGCAAGTACTCTACCACTGAGCCACATTCTAGTCCCAAGTTTAGGTTTTTTTTGTTTTGTTTTTGGTCAGTTGTGGGACTTGAACTCTGGGCTTGGGCGCTGTCCCTGAGCTATTCACATGAAGGCTAGCGCTCTACCACTTGAGCCACAGCACCACTTCCAGTTTTCTGGTGGTTAATTGGAGATAAAAGTCTCATGGACTTTCCTGCCTGGGTGGGCGTTGAATCGTGATCCTCAGATCTCAGCCTCCTGAGTAGCTAGGATTACAGGTGTGAGCCACCAGTGCCCAGCCTAGTATTTTCTTGATACTCCGGTTTATTAATCAGCTTTTAGATTCAAGGTAAAACAAGTAAAAAGCTAATGCTTAGACTTAGGAGTTAGTTTGGTGTTGGTTCTGATCTGTACTAGTCAGAGGGGAGGATGGGTTAGGAGTTGAAATGGGACCTTTAATTCAAGTTTTTTTTTTTTTAACCAGGAATGCATGATTAAGGGGAGTATAAGATGCAGGTACTAGTTTCCATTGCCATATTAGACATAAAACTAGAAAATGAATGGGATGGAATTCTGGAACCTGGCAATAGAAACAGCTCTTAATATGGTGTGTCTTTTCTTTTTTTTCTCCCCCTTAAGTTGATTGGCTGCATAATCGGGCGTCAAGGCGCCAAAATCAATGAGATCCGTCAGATGTCTGGGGCGCAGATCAAAATTGCGAACCCAGTGGAAGGATCTACTGATAGGCAGGTTACCATCACTGGATCTGCTGCCAGCATTAGCCTGGCTCAATATCTAATCAATGTCAGGTAAGTTACCCTATCTTTTCCTTATTAATGCCCAAAAGGTGTGTGTTTGGGTATATTACATCATATTATTAAATATGACATTCATTATTTGGGATAATTAGAAATGGGAAAAGGTTTTTAAAAGTCAAGCTACATTTTTCCCATCTCATATAAGACAGAAAAAATGTCTTTATTCTAGGAAGCTTACGTGGGGTGGCATAGATTGTTTGCCTTTGGATTTTGATGATTTGGGACAGTAGGAATAGGACAATGTTCTGGCTAGAACAGCCATACTGTTAACTCTTGTTTTGCGTGTCCTGTATACCTACCTGTGTTCTTCATATTTACTTGTCTTTGAGTCCAAAGCACTTTAACTGAATTAACAGTAGTGGAATAATGAGACATCAAAGCAGTTTCTTTGAGGCATCCATCACTATTTATATTGCAAACTTCCAGTTTTCTCGAATTCTAAGTGCGTTCCATTGTTCAGAACTTGTGAGAAAAACGAGGCAGGTATAGGAGGACTGTTCACTAAATAAATGCTAGGTTTGTTTTTCTCATTCTTTCCTCCCCTAATGATTTTCGGGTTCTGTTTTCCCTATTCCACATGTAAGTAATGTTATTACATTACAAGAAATGGTAAGGCACTAATCATAGTGAAATTAGCTTTCTACAGAGTGTTTACACTTCTTTCTTAGCTCATGTGCTGAAGTCACATTCTTGGTTTCTTAATGATATTTTTTGGTGTGTACCAGTAGTGGGGGTTTGAACTCAGCCTCATGTTTCTTGCTTAGGTTTTTGTTCAGGGCTGGCATTTTACCACTTGAGTCACAGCTCCACTCTGGCTCTTTAGTGGTTAATTGGAGATAGTCTCATGAACTTTTCTATGCATTCTGGCCTCAAATCTTGATCCTCATATCTCAGCCTCCTGATTAGCTAGAATTATAGTCATGAGCCATTGGCCATATCTCTTAAATTTTGAACCAGTGTTAGCAAACCATTTTCCAATGATCCTAGTTACTTCTTTCATGTAGTGTACTTCTTTGTCAGAAGTATTTGGTCTCTTCCTCTTGAAAGTTTCCCAAATCTAATACAAGAGAAAAATTTGATAAATATGAAGTCTATTTTTTTTTCCTCTGTGTGTCCTGAGGTTTGAACTTTGTTCTTGGGGTCCTGAGCTCTTTTTGCTCAAGTCTAGCACTTTACACTTGGGCCACAGCATCACTTTCCACTTTTTCTGTGAGTTAATTGGAGATTAAGAGTCTCAGACTTAACTGCCTGATCTGGCTTCAAACCATGATCCTCAGATCTCTGCCTCCTGAGTAGGATTACATGCGTGAGCCTCTGGTGGGGGCTCGGTGAAGTCTGTTCTTACCATGCTTGTGATGACCGTGAATCTCTGTCATGATCTTAAATCCATAATTGAAAATGTCCTGGCTTTGCCTTCTGTTTTCATTCCTTGAGCTACTACTGGCTTCATGCAGAAAAAAGACTTCCTCTGATTTGCCTTCATTTACAACTACTGAGCCACCTTACTCAGCTGCCAAACGTATCAAGTAAATCTTTAATTATTTGGCTAAAATTTAGTAAGCTTTTTCACAAAGGATGTTTGCAAAAATTTGTGGGTTTGGTTTTAATTGGGAAGGTTTTTGTTGTTGTTGTTGTTTTGTTTTTGCTAGTGCTGGGGCTGGAACTCCTGGCCTGGGTTCTTTCCTAACCTTTTTTGCTCAAGACTAACACTCTACCACTTGAGTGACAGCTCCACTTCTGGCTTTTTCTGTTTTTGTGGTACTGAGGAATTGTACCCATACATCCTAGGCAAGCACTGTACCACTAAGCCACATTCTCAGCCCCTAACTGGAAAGTTAGGTGGCAAATACCATGTTCTTAGGATCTAGGAATTGTTATTTCTTCTGCATTGTGTAGGCTTGCCCTGAATATGTCGGATAGTTGTTCAAATATGGTCTCCTTACTGCTTGTCCTTTATAGTTGGTTAGTGGTTTCATTTTATGGATGCAGAACTTCTCTGCTTTGTCTTTCTTTGAATGATTAAGGTTATTGAACAGTTGTCTATTTAGTCCTATCTTGTTTAAAAGAGTGAAATTTTCTAAGCTTATGGGTTTGAACACTAAAGCATGGAATCTACACAAAGCTTACTCTGTCCTCTCATCTTTTACAACTTGAATGCAAAAACATGCTGATTTTTATTAATACTAAGTAAGCACATTTACATATCAGCGTTCATTAATGGATTCTAGACATTTCTGCTGGCCTCTTGAGTTTTTTTTGCTATCATTCAGGGTCTTTTTTTATGCTTCAACAACATCCTTAATCTCCTTAATAGATTGCAGCTACTCTGAACAAGGTAAATAAGAGTCTTAAGAGGAGCCTCCCTCCCTGCCTTTGAAGTAGTCTTTCTTGTAGGCAGATTGTCTGAACAGATCTCAGCAAATCTCTGCAATTCTGGCTTAAACACAGGCAGTTGGGAGGTGTAATCATTGCTATTATTTGGTGCTTATTTTAGAAATAGATTCATTATTTTTTGAATTTGCATTTTTACAGCTGTGTATAGTCAACATTAGTATGGTCAGTCAAAGCAAACAGCCTTAAATTAATATCCTCCACTTACTCCCAGCAGAAAAGCTTTCTCAGTGTTATCTGCACTTCTCTTCTTAACATATTTCTTTGAAAATGCAATGTTCTTCGAAATCTGATGTTTGCATTGACTGATTTTAGACTATAATCTCACTCCATGGTAATGTTTTGGTTCATTGCTATAAGTAGGTTTTTAATGTTATTAACTACAGAGTTTATTTTATTTTTTAAATTTGAAGCTGGGCACAGTGGTCATGTCTGTAATCCCAGCACATAGGTTGAAACAGGAATATCTCAAGTTCCAGTCTAGTATGGGTTACATTTACTCAGTTTCAAAAAGTTACAAATGAAATCATGAAGTATAATACATAAAGCTTCCCAAGTAATTGTTGGATAATTGATATTCTGTTAGAATGGGAAGTTAATCCTTGATTTGAACTAAACATTTCATCCTTGTTTGGAGGTTGAGTACTCTTTTTTAACCTGAAATCATTGCTTCATGACTTGTGGGTGGGTCAGTGTGTTATATATCTGTCAGTAAGTGTTGTGTATAATTCTTTTCCCAGTCTGTCAGCTTTTTCTTCATTGAAGCAGTTTGAAACAGAATTATAAATGCAAAGGTGGCCAAGTAGAAGTATTTGGAGGGTTGGGACATAGGCTAAGAGAGATAGCTTGTCACATTTTTATAATAGATCTTCCTAATTGACAACCAAAGACATTTACTGATATGACTGAAGCGGTTTTTTGTCCTGTACTTTTTCCCTATTGTGGTCTTCCCTTCCACCCACCCTTCTTTTTGTTCCTTTTTTCCTCTGTTACAGTTTAGAAAACGCTAAACCCTCCTCCCAGGCAGCCTCCGTCACGATCCCTGATCACCTCAGCATCAACCTCTCTCAACCCTCCACCCCTTCTTCTTCTTCCTCCTCCACCACCACCCCCTCGCTCGCCACAGCGGGGACCTCCGACGCACCCTCCAGCCTCCCCAACCCTCTTCCGACCGCCCCTTGTGTCTCCAGTCTGCTTGGCATGAAACCCATCCCTCTCCTGGCTCTAAATGTTGTGTCTGCTGCTAAGGGTTCCGGGGCTTCAGCTACCACCACCACCAGCTCTGCTGTGCCATGTGTAACTAACAAACTGAAAGGCGAAAAACAGAGATTTTCCCCCTACTGATTGCATATCTTGAGGCACCTCCTCAAGTGTATCTTGGTTAATTTTGTTTTTCTTTGTTAATATTAGTGACACCAACCTATTGTGAGCTTGTGATCGCTTTCTTTTTACTACTTTGGGATGGGATAATTGGGTGGGGGGGTGGGGAAATGGTAATCTTTGTTTAGGTTTAGGCCATTTCAGCCGAGTGCCTGTTTCAGAGTCTTGACTTGTTGAAATCTTTAGAGCCACATTTCTTATTTTTCTGTTACCTTTTTTGTAGCTTTATTCTGCCTTGCAATATAATGATGTGTTAGGCTCTGTGTTAATGAATAAAAGCTTCTCCATTAACCTTTATTTTATTTTTTAAATTATTTAATGGTTAAGCTATCAGGCCTCTTGGCCGGATTTGTGTTTCTAGTTATAATAAAGTTGGCACAGTAATCTTAGTTCGCCGTGTGCTGTGATGGGTCAAAGGGGGGGAGCTTGTGATCTATGGCTAGTCAACTTGGAAGTCTACAACTTGGGCATTTTTTGTATCCCAGATGAATTTTACAAGGCTTTGTAATATTCCCACGAAGAGAGCAGGGTCTTTGGCAGTTTTGCTGCTGAAGGTCCTTCATAATTGGTCAGAAACTCAGAACAGTTTCTCAGATCCCTTTCCATGCTATCAACATCAGGTTAACAAGGATATCCTCTTAGGCTGTTTAGGCTGTCTTACCAAGACACCCACAAAAAACTTAATTCTCTACCCATATTAAAGGGCAAGGTTGGGTAGTAAGTCAGAGTTAGGCAGCTTCTGTGTCCTTTTCTCTCTGATTTAGCATTACTATTTATTCTATGATACTGAAAGGTCTTAAACAACCAACTTACGACATTGCTCTACAACATGGTTTAGTAATCTTGTCAACTCTTGTTCAGTCAGCCAAGTTCCTTACCCTTCTATTGTTTCCTATTCTTCCCTCTGTAGCAACACTGTTATGAATAGGAAATCACATGATTAGATTTGAGAGAACCTTAGAGATTAAACCTAGTAATCAGAAAATAGTAGGTCCCAAAAGAACTTAAAATTTTTAGATCATGTAAGTGGATAGTCAGGACTGATCATTTATACTTTGTTTACTCAGTATACTTTACCTCCCTGATTATTGATTTTTCTCTTTTTATGCTGAGGCTTTAAACGTAGAATGTGTACTGAGCTACATTCCCAACCATTTGTCCATTTTCTCATTCTAAGAGGGATTGGTCTGTTACCCCAAACAGATAGAAATGGTGGGCTGGGGTACACTTTAGAGTATTTGTCTAGCATTTGCAAAGTTATGAGTTCTCTTTCCATGACTGTTAGAAAAGTTAGAGGTGCTGTGTGTATAGTGACACATAAATGTTTTTTTCTCCCATTCAGTACTTTAAACTATATTAGTGATTGAGCCCATGTTATCAAACTGACCCAAACTCTATGTCATTTGAGTTAGTTAGGCCTTTTGTGTGTGTGCCAGTATTGAGGATTGACCTCTGGACTCAGTCTGGCCATTGTCCCTTAGCTGTTTTACTCAAGGCTGGTGTTCTACCACTTAAACAAAAGCTCCACATCTGCTTTTTGGTATTTAATTAGGGATAACAATCTCATGGACTTCTGCCCAGGCTGGCTTTGGACTGTGGTTCTTAGATCTCAGCTCTTGAGCAGCTATGATTATAGATGTAAGCTACTAGTGCCCTGCTCCTTTTATCTGGAATTCTAGATTGTCCTGTATCCTCTGGAGTACCTGGGATTTACAGACATGTAACACCATGCTGGATTACAACCAAATACATATTGCCAGGATACAGAAACTATAAAGCTTTTTCCCTAGGCAGTAGAGAAAACTTCATCATAAAAATTTTTCTTTTCCCACCCCTTTTGCTAACATTATTTAAAAGGAAGGACAAGAAAAACAACCTAGCTACTCTTTATTACTTGGTTGTATTTTTCCTTTATCCAAAATTAGGTTTATTGAATCACTGTTAATACTTAAGTTTAACTCTTGAATACTTCATTCAAAACTGAACAATTGGGGCTGGGAAGGTGGCTCAGTGGTAGAGTGCTTGCCTAGCATGCATGAGGCCCTGGGTTCGATTCCTCAGCACCACATAAGCAAAAAGAAAAAAGCCGGAAGTGGCACTGTGGCTCAAGTGGTAGAGCGCTAGCTTTGAGGTGAAGAGCTGAGGGATAATGCACAGGCCCAGAGTTCAGACCCCATTACTGGACGCCCCCCCCCCAAAAAAAAAGAACAATTCTCTCTCTCTCTTTTTTTTTTTTTTTGTTGGTGGTGGGGCTTGAACTCTGGGCCTGGGAGCTATCCTTCAGTTGTTCAGCTCAGGCTAGTGCTCTACCACTTGAGCCACAACACCACTTCCAATAATTCATTCTCTAGGTAAAAGTTTGTGCATCAGGTGGTCCACCTCGTCCCTTTGTATAAAGGAGTTAAGACTTAACAAGTTAGAAGAACTATTTTTTTTTTCCAGTTGGGGGGCTTGATCCCAGGGCCTGGGTACTGTCCTTGAGCTTTTTGCCCAAGGCTAGCAGTTTACCACTTTGCGCCACAGGCCCACTTCCAGTTTTCCAGTGGACAATAGTCTGATAAGAGTCTTATGGACTTTCCTAACCAGGCTGGTTTTGAACCATTATTATCTTAGCCTCCTGAGTAGCTAGGATTAGGTGTGAGCCACTGATATCTGGCTGGAAGACCATTTTACCCTAATGAATATTCCTTAAAGGAAGAATTGCTGAGAAGTAGTCGAGATATTCAAAGGCCAATAACTACCATAAAACCTCCTCCACATGTACTTGGTGTTAATTTTCTTAAAAGCTTAGAGCTTCCATATGTAGTCCTTGTACCCGAGAGTTTCTTCCCAATGTATTTCTGGTTGGGTTTTCATTTTTATCCTTTTTCACTCTGTTCTCCCCCTTCCCCTTTCTTTTTTTCCCTGGTCCTGGGCTTTGAACTCAGGGCCTGGGCTCAGTCCCTGAGCCTCTGCTCAAGGTTAGCACTCTACCACTTGAGCCACAGTGCCACTTCTGTTTTTTTTCTGCTTATATAGTACTTAGGAATCGAATCCAGGGCTTAATGCATGCTAAGCAAGCACTCTACCACTAAGCCACATTCTCAGCCCAACTCTGCCTTAAAAAAAAAAAGTCTTAAATAGGTATAAACAACCCAGTACTACTTTTTTTTGGTGAGTCCTGGGGCCTGAACTCTGGACCTAGGTGCTATCCCTAGCTCTTTAGTTCAAGGCAAGCACACTACCACTGAGCCATCTTCCCAGCCTCCAGTACTTCCTTCCTTCCTTCCTTCCCTTCCCTTTCCTTTCCTTTCTTTTTTTTTGGGGGGGGGGGGGGGGGATCTGGTCGTGGGGCCTGAACTCTGGGCCTGGGCGCTGTCCCTCAGCTCTTCAGCTCAAGGCTAGCACTCTACCACTTGAGCCACAGCGCC